CCACACTGTGTGCGCAGGGCCCTGGTAGATGTGTGCCCCGGGCCGTGACCTCCACCTCTGGGGGAGGGCTGGGTGGCCTCCAGGGCAGAGCCACCTTGCCTGGGGTCAAAGACACGACTCTGTCTTTCATCCGCGTCAGGTTTGGGATTGCACGACTTTGACAGATTTTGAAATCCAAAACACATCTAAACACTTGCATGCTGCAAAATGAGGTCACATTTGTGTCCCCTACAGACCTCCCTGGCCCCAGGGACCTGGTGGTTAGAGGTCTGCGTTGAGCCTCCACCCTGGAGTCCGCAGAGGCTGGTCCTCAGGCTGCCTCCCCTGGTTCCCGGTTCCCCATCGCAGCCCCAGGAGCTGCCCTGCTCCCAGAGGGCCACCTCCCTGTGACCCTGGTGGTCCACATCCACTGTCCCGGTGTCACTTACATTGTAGAGGAGGTCAGTCCAGCCTTCCATGGTGATACACTGGAAGACGGTCAGCACGGCGAACAGGATGTTGTCGAACTGCGTGATCCCGTTGTTGGGCCCTTCCCAGTAGGGCTGGCATTTGGTCCCGTTGGGGCAGGTACGGGCAGGTTCCTCTGTCCCACACGGAGCCGGGGACTCACCCTGAATGTCATCTGTGAAAGGGAAGGGGAGGAGCGTCAGGACAAGGAGCAGGGAAACAACGGAGAAGTCAGAACCCGTGAGTGTTTAACGCTGTTGGGAGAAACGGCGATTGGGGTGAACTTCGTCTTTTTTCTTTAATCAGGACATGGCTCGATTGATTTACTGAATACTTTCTCCTTCACTGAATCATTCTCCAAGCTTCATTATTCATACCTTCTTGTCTTCTGGGGGTTATTTTGCTGTTACTTTCCTCAACTTTGAGAAGGATTAACTTGGAGGCTATAAATTGTCCTTAAAGAGCAGCTTTAGCTGCATCTCAGAAATGTTGTCAGTCGTCATTATCATTATTGCTGAGTTATTTTCCAATTTCCATTTCTTCTTTGATCCATGAACAATGAAGACATTTCTTTTTCACAAAACTTGTTAAACATATGAAGAGAGAGAGAAGAGCATGACGAGGATTATCCGATGTACCTCTCACCAATGTCACCCTTCGTCAACTCTGGGTCCCTCTCCTTTCACCTCTTCTTTATACTTTGCCAACTAGAGATCTCAGTTGCAATATCATTTCACCCACAAATAAGAGCCTCGTCTCTTAATTTTTAAATGCTCTTGGAGTTTTCTTTCTGATTTCTGGTTGAATTGCCTCGTGTTGGGAACCCGTTGGGCTATTGTCCCAGCCTCCTGACGCCTGCTGGGGAGCCTCGTGGTCCGTGGTCAGGTCTGGTGAACGCGCGGGGGTCGTTGGCTGCAGCACTCTTCATGCCACAGTGAGGAACTGGCCACCGGGCTCCTGTCCGAATCCTTGCTGGTTTTCTTCCTGGCCTGTCTGGGCTGGGGAGCTGTTCTGGGGGCAAGGGACAGGGGTATGCGCAGCCCCTACCCCAATGGGTGGAGAACAGAAGCCGAGCTCTCCCCACAGAGCAGGGGCGGACTGCGAAAATGTCGGCAGGGAACACAGCGTGCCAGGGGACAGCCCTCTGGCTGGAAGCCAGGACGGCCTCAGGAGGAAGCAGTGGGCACTGAAGGTCGGGTCCAGACCTCAGGGCGTGGTGGGGCTGGGGACCTGGACTCCAGGGCTCTGGGCTGGACGGTGGCCTCTCTGGGAGCCTGCCTCCTCTCCACAGGGTCCACGCCTGGCCCATTCCCAGTCACCTGGGATGTCCCCTTTCCCCTGGCCTCCAGTGGACGTGCAGACAGAGTCACACGTGGGCCTCCAAGTGACGGTCGCATTCCTCCAAGGATTCTGGCAGGTCTTGGAAAGCGGGGAGCCTTCTGCTCTGCCTCTGCCTCCCCGGGCGTTCAGGAGGCCCCC